AATACTTTAAAAAACAATCACAATCACATAATAATTAGCTCAGTTTAATTTTGATTTCATTAATCAAAAACCAATAAAACAGAAATTAACAACACATCCGAATGTTGCGTCTAACCCTTAAACTAAAGCACTTGCTTAGCTGAAATAAAACTATCAATTTTCTCGCATCGGGTCATTAACCAAATTTCTTCTCATCTTGACGAACTCGAGGAGACTGCCAATCGACTGCCTTACAATCAAGCCTCTAAATTACAAGTTTTATCTTTTGATTCTCCAGAATCTCTTTAACCTGGAAATAGTCTACGATGTTTACCAACCACTGCATAAAATCCTTGAACGAGAATTCTTTATCGAAGCAAGGAATTTATTAAGAACTGGAGCACCCCTTCCAAATAGTTTAACTGCAAGCTAGCGGCATCTCAACACTTGAAAGCGTTTGCCTTGACCTTCATAAAATGCAGTTTGACTTAGGTTGATGCGAGACGAAAGCCGTATTAATGGACAAATTCGAACTACCAGACACTAAAATAATTGTTAGTAAAAAAAACAAGTTTTCTTTTAAATTTTTTGTTTATATATAATTTTTCTCAAAAAGCCTACGTCCGAAGTTCGAATAAACAGTGGATTTCTTTGGCAAGCAGAAAACAAAATAGTTTAAATTCTCCATACTCAAGAAATAAAATAAAATATCATGTTATAAATAATTACCTAATTTACTCAAAATAAAGCTTATTTTAGCTAAAGTTTAAAATATAAAAGTATCTTGAAATTGAAATTATCATGTAATAAACCAACAATTGAGGTTGTGAATTGTGATCATAGTTGGCACGTGCTGGAAACTCCCAGCGGATAACGCGTCGTTGGGGGAATTTAGAAGAGATAAACAATCGGCCTTGGGCTCTCTCGATGATGGGCTTGGACTGTTCATAGTTCAAAATTTTAAAAGATGTTAAACCGATCGAGGTGTGATGGAATTAAATTTTTGTTTGAAAGATGAAGAATTTTTAAGATTAATTTCGAGAAAAAAAGAAAAAGAAGAAAATTTAATTAGAAGAAAAATTCTCAAACCATACATGGAAGCCTAATCTTATATATCAATAAGAGTTATTAGAAGCCTGCAAGCTTAATCCAACACTGAGATTAATTTGAAAGGAACAAACTTATTGTGTTTCATAAGTGAGGATCCTATGCACTAAACGGAAGCATGGTAAAATTACCTATTATGTTAATGAGTTAATATAACATTATTATTGCAGTCTTATTTAATAATTTGAAATTTTAATTGATATGATTTTTTGATATATAAAATTCTCGTTTTCCTAACAAAGATTAAAAAAAAAAATAACCATCATATAAATTTAAGATTTTGAAAGCTTTAAATATACAATGAATTAATATAAAATCATTCTTTAAACTTCGCAGTAACACCCTTTTATTTTGAATGACTGTCATGCATTCTTTTATATTCTTATTTCAATTTAACATAGGAACATTCTTGGGTCAAGTTAATGCTAAGATATTAAATTATTATACTGGTATCTCAACATTAAATCTTATTACCCAACATTTAACATTTAAGTGATAGTCATTCCTTGAAATTTCTTTATTCATGCTAATAAATTTAAATTAAACATAACTAATTTTTTTTTTATTTTTTTAAGCTCAATTAAGGGATGAGTCTATTTTTTTTTTTATTCATGCTAATAAATTTAAATTAAACATATCTATTTTTTAATTTTTTTAGGCTCAATTAAGGGATGAATCTATTTTTTTTTGAGGCTCAACTAAGAAAAAAAACTTTTTTTCCTTAAACTCTTTCAAGGGATAAACCCAACTTCCCTTAATCATGTTCAAAGAAATGATCCTTTTTTATTGAACATGTCCAAAGAAATGACTTTTTTCTTATGCATGTTTAAGAGATTAACTCGATTTTCTTTAAACATACTCAAAAAATAAAACGAGCCTTCTTTAGGCTCATCAAAGGACAAACCCAGCCTCCTTTAAGCTCACCAAGAGATAACATATTCTCCACCCCTCTCTTTTGGTCTAGCCTTTGAGAAAAACTTAGTTTTTATAGACTCAGTTATATTTGATATCTTAGACTCGAGATTCTCTATACCTCATAGATATACAAAAGTTTTTCAAAGATCTGTCATATTTTCATCAAATATTAATATAAAGCTAAGAGATATTTATCTATTATTAAATGTTATTATGGTAAAATTACACTTCAGACTATTATTTTATTAAAAAAAACTCATAAGCTATAAATATATCATGAGATATTAAAAAAAAAGGTTTATAATTTTCATTCTTTACTACATATATTTTTAATGCATCTCTTTTTAGAATATTATTATATTTTCTCTATAAAAAAAGATTTTTATTTAAGTATCGGAGAGTCTCCACCTCCATCGATATTGATCTTTTACAAGTACTAGCCACAAGTTACCTTGATTTATTAAATACCAAATATAAGTTATCAACTACCTTGACTAGGAATAATAGATGAGATTGCTATGAATAAGTAATTAATTGATTATTCAATTTAGAAATCTTATTTTTGAACTAGTTGAATTTTTTAGAATATCATTACCATAGTTTTGAAACCCGGCCTAGCTAGGCAGGCCGACCCGGGGCTAGAACAAGGCTAGAATGAAGAAAAAATAAGAAAAAAAAACCCTGATATGACCTGACAAAACCTGGTAAGAATATCATTACCATAGTTTTGAAACCCGACCTAGCTAGGTAGGCCGACCCGGGGCTAAAACAAGGCCGGAATGAAGAAAAAATAGGAAAAAAAAAACCCGGTGTGACCTGGCAAAACCTGGTCAAAAATCTAATTGCAATCCGTTGATTTTTGTTTTTTTATTACTAAAATGATGTCATTTTGATTTTAAAAAAACTTTTAACCTGAGCGACCCAGTAACCCAAACAAAATTTGGAATCCGAATCTTGAATTGAACCGGGTTTAAAAACTAAGATAATTACACAGAAAAGAATAAGATTTGGCTATTTATTTTTACGGAATGTGCTTTATATATTTAGACAATCTGTAGTATCATGCAAGGATATCCAATT